AAGGCCGGAAATCGATGCCAGACGTCATTTCCAGCCGCTACACGTCGTTCCCTTTCCGAAAATACCCATATTGTAGAGTATTTGACAGTTTTTCTTGAAGCGATGACCGCCATCTTGGATTTAAAAATGGCGTCCGAAATCGATTTACAGCCTCTCTACATGTCATCCCTATTCCGTTTCGTGTCCTCGCATTGCACAGCAACATCTTATATGAACAAGCTTTCCAGAAATAACATATTAAGGATGTTCATGTGCACACTAGCACTGCGTAGTGAGAGAGTTCTTAAATAATATGACCACCATCCGAAAGGACTTGGTCACCTGAACAAATTTACTCAGCAACGTTCTATATGGCCAGGTTCTCGAGATACAGTTTATATATGAAGTTCACATGCACACTAGCGCTGCGTAGTGAGAGAGTTTTGAATTATTATGCCCATCATCCGAAAGCACGTGGTGGCCTGAACAACTTTGCTGAAGACAGTAACCTTCTATATGGCCAGGATTTTGAGATACAGCTTATATAGGAAGCTCATGGGCACACTAGCGCTGCATAGTGAGAGAGTTCTGAACTAATATGGCCACCATTCGAAAGGACTTGGTCACTTGAACAACTTTCCTCAAGACAGTAAATTTCTATATGGCCATGATCACGAAATATTGTATGTTGGACATATGATCCATATATTTTAGCACCCGTCATAAGTAACATAAAAGAGAAGCGTCTCTAGCGGCGTAGTTCCCAATTAAACCTGAATCCAATGACTTAGGCTTGTTGGTCTATCTCATTATAACAACTTTGTCGAAGACAGTATAGTTCTATATTTTGTAACAAATGAGATAATCCACCACAGCCCCCATTAGTGAAAATCCCATAAACTGTGGGTATCCTTATTCGCGGTTCCTTATTCACGCCCCCGTTACCCCGGCAATAAGGATTCCTGACTGTAATAAGCATAATAGCAATGTAACAGAAATTCGGAAATTTAAGAGAATCCAAGTTAGTCCAATGGACATGACAAAGTTAGTCCAAGATTCTCTTAAATTACTAATTTTCTACTAACGTCTAACGTCCAGCCACCCCGTGACACTAGGGAAAGTTCCAATTACTTGAGGAAAATTGCAAGAACATAATAGAAATTCCTAGAGATTTATAGGCAAGTTTCGTAAACTTTGGAGCAGTTCTGCGAACTTCAGAGCAGAAAATTCCATAAATTGTGAAAACTTTAGCATATTTCCACTAATTTTAGGAAAAAAGTGGGAACCTTCTGAAGCTTTTTAAAATGTCAGTGAAACCCTTAAAAGTCCAGGAAGTTTCAAAAAATGCACGAAATTCTTTATTACAATGTTTGTAATTTTAATGCAGTTTCAAGAACATCATAAGCATGGTGAACACTTATGCTAGGTTTCAAAAACTTCAGGAAAGTTTTCTGAACTTCAGGCCATTTCCATTAACCTTCCGAAAATTGAAGGAACCTAACAGAAGTATTTCAGAGAAGTTTCACTAACAGACAAATTTTCTTTTCGGAACACGGTTCCTTAGTGCAAATAATTTAAGGGGCAATAGAAGATCATATTTAAAGCAGAAAATTTTTCTACGCATATGATAAAATCTCAAAGATTACTGAGTTATTGAACTTTTTCTGATTTGGTCTACACACTTAGAAATAACTAATTTTACAAGTGCTGGAATCCATCTTTGACATAAAAGATGAGACGTAAACAAACATGTCATGTAATATTAAGTGCTCCGAGACTGAAGAGTTCGTTGCTCGACGAATAGTACGTTTGATTAAGCTAAATTTCGCGTCTGTTATGATTCAAATTTATGTCAAAATTGACGCTCGTATATGTCACTCTCAGAGCACCTAAATTTACATGAGTGTTTCTAAGTGTGTATGCTTGTCATAAATTGGCTCTAACTCAAAAATTATGCCATTTAGCACAAATCTCTTGCCTTCATTGAACAGCGTGGTAAATTTCCTACTCAAAAGTGTCATTTCTTCTTTAAGCAAGTTGCATTTAGACACATTTTAGGGATACACGGGTCTAAAACTTGTGTTTTCCTACGGGTTTTCCCTCATTTTTCAAAAAAATACGTAATAAAGTGTATGGTTTTGTCTAACCAAAAGATGTCTCTCAATGTGCTCTACAACTCTTTTTTGGACACTAATTTTCTATCTTGTTTAGTTTTGTCGCAATTTCGTACTAAACACATCATGTTGGATCGTTAATTAACGGTTGCGCAAAACACGATTTCAACCCCACCGTGCGTTGCTGTTGGCGTCTGTTTGCAGCGCGCATAGCACACTTGATCGCCAAGCGGAGTCACGGTATGAACAACTAAAAATTGGTGTCAAAGAGAGAGTTGTAGAACGCATTGAGAGACATCTTTTGGTTAGACAAAACAATACACTTTATTACGTATTTTTTTGAAATAATAAGGGAAATTTACCAAGCTGTCCAGTGGAGACAAGAGTGTTGTGCTAAATGGCTTAGTTTTCGAGTTAGCGTCAAATTATGACAAGCGCAGACCAAAACAGAAAAAGTTCAATAACTCAGTAATCTTTGAGATTTGATCGTATGCGTAGAACAATTTTTTACTTCAAATATGATCTTCTATCGCCCCTTAAATTATTTGCACTAAGGAACCGAGCACCCTGTATAGCATTACCAATGTGTCGAGGAAATTTCAGGTCAACATTCTGAAAAACAACAAAAACCGCATGGGTGGTATGGAAAAGGGTCCCATTTTGATCATTTGGGGACCTTCCACAATCTGCCTCTATACTTGATTTTCAATGACGCAAATCTATCAAACTCTATATAAAAATTGCTGGATCAACAACGCAAATAACTTGTTTGGTTAAAAAGTAATCTCTATAGAAAAATATTATTTCTAAGAATTCGAAAAAATTAGGGTTGTAGCTTAGGAGCAACCAAGCACTATAGAGCAAAATCCGAAAAGGTGTTTTCACAGTGACCACAACTTTATGGATATTTGAGCTGTAATGACCCAGGTGGCTTCATTAATTGGAGGAACTTTCAAGAAGCTCTGATAACTTCAGGGATATCTAATGTATTTAAATAAAGTTATGACAACTTCACAGAAGTCCACAAACCAAAAAGTTCCAAGAGCTTCAGGAAGCTTACCGATATTTATGGCAGTTCCGATTCAGGAAAGTTTCGAGAACTTTAGAAAGTTCAGTCTTTTGGGGTGGTTTAAAAACCTGCAAGGGTGAGATGAGAATTTTAGAATGCTTTAAAAATATATCCGGAATTTAACAGAAGACCAGGGAGCTAAAGGGAAGTTCATTTCTTGGCAGCAGAAAACATCAAAAACCTCAGATCAGTTCCATTAACTTCAAATAAATTGTAGGAACCTTCGAGATCCTCAAAAAAAATCGAAAACTTCAGCAAAATTCCAAAAGCATCCAGTTCCGTTAGCTTCTGAGCAACTTCAAAAACTTAATAAATAATGCAAGAATGCAAGATATTAGTTTCAGACAACTGCAAAAACTTTAAAAAAAGTTCTGAGACTTTAAGGGTAGTTCAGGCAACACGGAAAAATTACCATAAAATAATATAAAATCACGACAAAATCTATTTCCAACAATCGATCCTATTGTATGAATATGATATAAGTAAATTTAAAATATTGTTATTACAATAGATCTACAATACGTTCCAAAGAGCATGAATATTCAACAATAGAAAAACAATAAAATTATTGGTAAATGACTCAAGCTTATTCGGGAAAAAGTGATTTTCTGTACGATTAAGATACATAACAACCCCTTGTTCTATTGTAGATTTTCACATTTACCATAGATTCTTATGTGGAAACTATAAATTCTATGGTTATTTTTTTTATCGTTGTTGACTCCTGGGAAATTAATAATAAATAAGGACACATTTTATTGACTGTAGAGAAGTTTAGAGTACTTTGAGAAGATCAGATAACTTTAAAGCAGTTACATTAATTTCAAGAAGGTGCAGAAACATGGTTTAATCCCAGTCGGCGTCGCCGGGATGTTTTGAGGCATAACATCTCTGATCACGCCTTCCTTCGGAAGGGAAGTAAAGCTGTTGGTCCCCGGTCCATGAGTTGATGGGTCGATAGGTAGGGTCCAGGTGTGGGAGATGCCTCCCTGGTAGCATTGGTGCTCAGCACGAAAAACAAATTAAGGAAGAAGACTAAAGGAAACTTTCAAATTGCCGAATGCAATGCTCACAACTCTCCAAATCAATATTTATGCTGCAAGCAAACTATCTCACAATTCTTGAAAACCCAAAAGTGAGAATCCATTCCAGCAAAGGATTACGACGATTGCAAAATAAACGTCCACCCCCATTGCGACTCCTCATTCTGTTCTTCAAAGCCCACACCGGCATCCTTTTATCGAGAGGCAAGTGAAAATTATACGCGATATTTCAAATTCCTTCCTCCTGAAATTGCACTGCATCAGCAGCAGCAGCATCGCCGCCGCCGCCGCCGCCCCACCGGTGGAATAGATGATAGATAAGAATCCAAACAACCATGCCTAACGTTCTCTCACTCCGGCATCGTCAACTAACAGGTGGAATGGTGCTGCTTGTGCTGTTGCCGACGCCGAAGCAGGAGGAAGCACAGAATTACATCCTCCGGATTGTATACGCTTTGCATTGCTTGTTCGGTCGGCTGAATCCGAATGCTCGTGCAAAATTCTTGGGATTGTAAATGCTCGGTGCCGAGCTCGAAGCGCTCGGATTTCAAATAAAGCTTGGAATGGATTTCCCGGTACACGCCCAATGAGAATAACTCAGCTAGAGAGAAAGAGAGAGTCACTTCTACTCAGTTGTATGAGAAATTTCTCATACAGCTGAGTAGAGTGGTTCTCATTGACCGTGTACAGCCCAGATCCGGAGAAAGCATTATTACATCCAGCTTCCGCCTTGCCGAGCTTTGAAGCTGCTCCGACATCAAAAGAAAACGCCCGCCGGAGCACCTATTCACCTACCTGTAATTCATGCAGGAAGTCGGTCTCATCCAGGAGCACGATCCGCACCGCGATGGTCTTCGATGATCGGCAAAGGCAGTACATTGTGAAGCTTCTTCTTCTTCTTATTTCTTCGTATGTCGCTTGTTTCCCTCACTAAGAGCAACTACTGTATCACTCAAATACTGATTGGTTTTACAAACAATTCTTCACTCTTTAAAAAAAGCACACACACATACACACAGACAATGATCACAACACTCTCCGGTTGATTATGCAGCTTCACGGCCTTCCACTAGCAAGTCGAACCACTGCCACTGCCGCCACAACTAGCAACTGCTGAGCGAGGTGGAAGTCTTCGGAACTCGGTGGTGCGGTCCCATCCATCATGCTGCTGGGATTCTCTTTCACCTGAACACCGATCGGACCGGAGAAGAGCGGTACCTACGTGGTTCTATTCCGATGGCTGATGGTAGCCTCTTATTGTTGATTTATCACCTCCTCACCGGTATATTGATTGGAGAGCTACGCAGAGGATCGCACACACAGTTCGATCGTAGTCGATTGATTGATTGATTGATTGATTGATTGGAGCTCGCGGATTGTTGTTGGTTGATAAATTATACACACTCACACAAACGTGCACGTACGCGGAGGGACTGCTTGCGGTATGTCTATTGTTTGTCGTTGTGATTAGTGAACTGCCGGCCTTCGGGCGGTAATTATCTCCGATGGGTCGGGTGAGAGCGATTCCAGCGTCTGACCTGTGGAACGAGGAAGAAGGAAACATGTGGTAAGATTGTTGCGTCAGTTAGGTAAAACTAGAAATGTACGCGATGAAAAGAGGATTGTTTGGCATTAGATAAACGATTCAGGTTGGATGAGTGGATTGAGCATTGAATGAAGTAGGAAAAGGTTAAGTGTTGACTGAGCTGTGTACTTCAAAATTCCATATTTGTCTAGATCACATTTTTACCTAGGGGATACGTACTTAAGGGGGTTAGATTTTGATAAGTCTTTAGTGGGAATGAATCTGATGATGACTGCACATTGTAGAGGAAATACGTATCTGTCATGGATGCCAAAATTAATTAACAAGCGAATTTCATTACTTCATAAAGAACTTTAATTAAGTTCCACAGAAAATTCCCAGATCTTCTAGAAAAGTATCGAGCTCTTCTAGGAAGCTTCACGAACTTCAAGGCGGTTCCATTAGCTTATGCGAAACTGCAGCAACTTTAAAAGCTTCTGAGAACTTCGACGATGTTCGGAGACCTTCCAGGAATTCAAGAAAACTTCAGAGATGTTCAGAGATCTTCAGAGAAGCTCAGAGAGGCAGTTAAGGGCAGTTTCAATAGCTTCATTAAACTAAAATTATTCCGAGAATTTTAGAAATGTCCAGACTTTTTGGAAGTTAAACAATCTATAAGGATGTTCTACGAATTTCTGGAACATTAAAGTTCCAGGAAATTGAGGGAAGTCGAATTTTAAGATTTTTCGGTCATTTCCATTTATTTCAGAGCGTCAGATAACACCATATCAGAAGAATTGCGAGAACTTCGCAAAAGCTCCGAGAATAACAAAGAAGGTCAGAGAACCTCGCGGTAGTTCAAGTATTATCAGTGGAATTACAGAACATTCCAAGAGTTTTGGGTAAAATTATGAAATCTTTGGGTAAGTTACCATCATGGCAGTTTCAATAACATTAGAAAATGGCGCGAACTTATGCGAAGATCATTCTTTTTTAATACTTTACTGGGTGATTTTCAGCCACTTCTGGGCTAGTTAAAGATCTTTGATTGGTCCCATTAATTTAAGAATAAAAAATGTAGAAAAGATCCGAGAAATTTAAGGAAGTCAAAAGAACTTCAGAGAAGTTAAGGGGATTTCCGGTTCAATTGACCTAAACTTTGGATTTTTTCCAGGGAACTGGTAAGAGTTAGAGACCTGAGTTTTTTGTCAAATCTTTATTCATTCTTGCTCTACAACTGGGAATTTTTTCAAGTCCAAAAATCCAAAATGGCGTCCAATATGGCGGCTGCCCGGCGGGTTCTTCCCAAAACTGGCGGGCATTTGAAAAAAAAAGTCATTTACCTAGTTACCGCCATTCTGTCAAATTTTGAGATTTTTCAAAGATTCTAGTTCATTCCATTCTCTGAATTATACTCTACAAGAAACTGAGCCGATTTTCTTTCTAGGTGACGATTTGCGACCTCTAGGCTGCTCGCAGTTTTGGGAAGTACCCGCCGGGCAGCCGCCATATTGGACGCCATTTTGAATTTTTGGACTTGAAAAAATTCCCAGTTGTAGAGCAAGAATCAATAAAGATTTGACAAAAAAACTCAGGTCTCTAACTCTTACCAGTTCCCTGGAAAAAAAAAATCCAAAGTTTAGGTCAATTGAACCGGAAATCACCCTTAAGAGATTTTTAATCTTTTTTTTTTGTTCAGGAAAAGTCCCTTGAGGCTTCGATTAACTTCAGATAAATTTCAGAAATTATGAAAAAGTTTCAAGAAATCATGGAAAAATCCTAAACTTTCAGCAAAATAGCGAGCTCGTCAACGAATTTCGATTAATATCAGAAAAATTGCCAGATCATCAAGGAAGTTCAAAGAACCTCTTGACAATTTAGGGAATACCTTACTGCGTCGTTTTTCCGTTTAATTCTACTACTATAGTCATATACACTAGACACTGAAGAAGTTTGCAAATAGTAATCGAAATACGCATCGGTTATAGTTTTATTTTAAGTAATAGTGAAAGTAAATAGCAATTAAATGGAAAAAGCACGTAATAAGGTATACAATCGTTCTACTATAACGCTCATCAATCGATTTAAATTTAGGGAACTTCAGGGAATTCTGCAGATCAGCTTGATGCAACTAAAAACAGGCTTATTCAGCTTTTAGCCTGTATAATTGTTTACAAAGAAAATTTGGGAAATTTAGAGATTTTAAAACATGTTCCGTGAGAGATGTTCAAGAAGTTTCGCAAAAATCAGGAATGTTTCGGGAACTTCAGGGAAGACTTCAAGGCAGTTTGTTACAGGCGGGAGCTTGTCGAAAGTTATGAAAAATTCAAAGAAGTCTGGAGAACATAGGAAAGTTTAGTGAGTTGTTTCAATATCTTCAGGAAAGTATCGAAAGTGTCTTGAAAGATTCGGTTGTAGTTCAGATAAATTAAATGAAAAATTAAAAAAAAAAAGAGTCGAGAGCTTCAGTGGAAATCAACTGCATTAATTATGTTGTATTAACCTCAGGAAAATATCTGGAACCTAATTGGAGTTCTTGGAATTTTAGGGAAGAACATAGAACTCCACATGTGAAATTAAGAATTTATTTGCAAAACTTGAGGAACTCCACAGAAGTCCAAACTTCAGGAAAGTTCTAAAAACTTCGCGATAATTAGTATTGCAGAAACATCAGGGAAAATTATTGCAGTTCCATTTATTTCAGGAGAAAAACATTAAATTTTTAGATGTTCCAAGTTTTGCAGGACGTTCGGAGAACTTTAGAGAAGTTAGAAAAGCTTCAGAAAAAGTTCAGGAATTTCACAAGAAATAAACGAATTTTAAGGAAGCACCAAAATAATTGGGTCAATCGTAAGAACTACAGAGGAATTCCGAGAATATCAGGGAAGAACCCAGGGCCATTTTATCAACCGCATCGAAATTGCAAATATTTTTCAAAAGTTTAGAGAGCTTAAGGAACAGAAGTTCTGAGAATTCCAGAAGAATGACATTAGCTTCACGAAAGATCCATTAACATTAGGCAAATTCAGATAACTTCAGTCGACCTTTTGTCGTTCGACCTTTTGTCGTTCGACCTTTTGTCGTTCGACCTTTTGTCGTTCGACCTTTTGTCGTTCGACCTTTTGTCGTTCGACCTTTTGTCGTTCGACCTTTCGTCGTTCAACTTATCGTCGTTCGACCTTTCGTCGCTCGAATTTTCGTCGCTCGACTTTTCGTTGCTCGACCTTTCGTCGCTCAACTTTTCATCGTTCGACCTTTCATCGTTCAACCTTTCTTCGTTCGACCTTTCTTCCTTCGACCTTTGATCTTTCGGCCTTTCGTTGTTCGACCTTTCGTCGCTCAAACTTTCGTCACTCAACCTTCCGTCGCTCGATCTTTCGTCATTAGACAATTCGTTGTTCGACTATTAGTCGTTCGACTATTAGTCGTTCGAACGTTCGTCGTTCGACCTTCCGTTGTGCGACCTTTCGTCGTTCGAACTTTTTCCGCTTGACCTTTTGTTATTCAACCTTTCGTCGTTCGAACTTTCGTCGTTCGACCTTTCGTTATTCGACCTTTAGATGTTCGACCTTTCGTCGTTTGGCCTTTCGTCGTTCGACCTTTCGTCGTTTGACCTTTCGTAGTTTGACCTTTTGTCCTTCAACCTTTCGTCGTTCGACCTTTCGTCGTTCAACCTTTCGTCGCTCGACCTTTCGTCGTTCAACCTTTCTTCGTTCGACCTTTCGTCGTTCGGCCTTTCGTTATGCTACCGTTCGTCATTCAACCTTTCGTCGTTCGACCTTTCGTCATGCGACATTTGATCTTTCGGCCTTTCGTTGTTCGAGCTTTCGTCGCTCGACCTTTCGTTGCTCGACCTTTCGTCGTTAGACCATTCGTCGTTCGAACGGCCGTCGTTCAACCTTTCGTCGTTCGACCTTGCGTCGATAGACCTTTCGTTGTTCGACCTTTCGTCGTTCGACCTTTCGTTGTTCGACCTTTCGTCGCTCGACTTTTCGTCGCTCGACTTTTCGTCGCTCGACTTTTCGTCGCTCGACTTTTCGTCGCTCGACTTTTCGTCGCTCGACTTTTCGTCGCTCGACTTTTCGTCGCTCGACTTTTCGTCGCTCGACTTTTCGTCGCTCGACTTTTCGTCGCTCGACTTTTCGTCGCTCGACTTTTCATCGCTCGACTTTTCGTCGCTCGACTTTTCGTCGCTCGACTTTTCGTCGCTCGACTTTTCGTCGCTCGACTTTTCGTCGCTCGACCTTTCGTCGCTCGACTTTTCATCGTTCGACCTTTCATCGTTCAACCTTTCTTCGTTCGACCTTTCTTCCTTCGACCTTTGATCTTTCGGCCTTTCGTTGTTCGACCTTTCGTCGCTCAAACTTTCGTCACTCGACCTTCCGTCGCTCGATCTTTCGTCATTAGACAATTCGTCGTTCGACTATTAGTCGTTCGAACGATCGTCGTTCGACCTTCCGTTGTGCGGCCTTTCGTCGTTCGAACTTTTTCCGCTTGACCTTTTGTTATTCAACCTTCGTCGTTCGAACTTCCGTCGTTCGACCTTTCGTTATTCGACCTTAAGATGTTCAACCTTTCGTCGTTCAACCTTTCGTCGTTCGACCTTTCGTCGTTCGACCTTTCGTCGTTCGACCTTTCGTCGTTCGACCTTTCGTCGTTCAACCTTTTGTTGCTCGACCTTTCGTCGTTCAACCTTTCTTCGTTCGACCTTTCAACGTTCGGCCTTTCGTTATGCTACCTTTCGTCATTCAACCTTTCGTCGTTCGACCTTTCTTCATTCGACCTTTCTTCCTTCGACCTTTCGTCATGCGACCTTTGATCTTTCGGCCTTTCGTTGTTCGAGCTTTCGTCGCTCGACCTTTCGTTGCTCGACCTTTCGTCGTTAGACCATTCGTCGTTCGGCTATTAGTCGTTCGAACGGCCGTCGTTCAACCATTCGTCGTTCGACCTTGCGTCGTTAGACCTTTCGTTGTTCGACCTTTATTCGTTCGACCTTTCGTTGTTAGACCTTTCGTCGTTCGACCTTTCGTCGTTCGACCTTTCGTCGTTCGACCTTTCGTCGTTCGACCTTTCGTCGTTCGACCTTTCGTCGTTCGACCTTTCGTCGTTCGGCCTTTCGTTGTGCGACCTTTCGTCGTTCAAACTTTTTCCGCATGACCTTTTGTCATTCAACCTTTCGTCGTTCGAACTTTTATCGTTTGACCTTTCGTTATTCGACCTTTCGTTGTTCGACTATTAGTCGTTCGACCTTTCGTCGTTCAACCTTTCGTCGTTCGTCCTTTCGTCGTTCGACCTTTTGACGACAATTGTTTTTTGTCAGAAACGAAGTAGCAACTACGGGCTGTCAAGGGTGACAACTTAAGATCTCATATGTCCGAATTTAATGACCACGAATTGTGACCATCTTTGCAAATTTGACAGATGCCATTTAAAGTTACAAAGTATCAATATTGCTGCAATCTTTTCTGGATATTTTAAAACTCCTTCCGAAGTGTGATTTTGATGTATTTTTGGGTTGGAGAATTCACGGACTTCTAAATTCAGTTAGTTTATTGATGATCACAATAACATCAAATCTACAATGTGATTCAAAATGATTGCGATAATTTGAAAGTTTTCAAACTTTTAAGCTCTCCTGGACTCCATTTAATTCCAGCGCTACTGTCAGTTAATCATTCCGCTAAAAATACACCATTTTACTTCAACCCACTTTTCCTAACTAACTGCACTTGAACGGTTGACGCCTTCTGCTATCAGGTGCAACATCCGATACCATCCTATCCCCCTCGTTCCTTCAAAATCTCCACCGGCAAACCTTCCAAGTGGGATTGTCTTCCCAACAGCGAACCACACTATCTGCTTGCCAAAGGAACTGCATCTCGTACCTAGATATAGATAATTTATTTCAATTATATCTTTTCTCTAGATTCGCCCCTACATGGGGTTGCCGCGGTGGTGCGGCGAGAGATTGCGATGTGTGATACCGTTTCACCGGACGTCCCGTTGTTCGTCTGTAAAACGTCAACCGTGAACCAACCAACCAAGTTCCGTCCATATGGATCCATCGCGGCGAGATGACGACGACGACGACGTCTGGGGAGAGAGCTTTAATTTTTTTTTCAGGGAGGGATTTCTACTTCAACTATAAACTTGGCTGTATCATCATCAAGAACAGTAACAACGGCACCGTGGCGGAGATGGTTGTCTTCTTGGGCGGCGTCGTAGTCGCCGTCTACTGTCGTCAACCATGCTTGAGGTAAAGTGGCAGAGTCAAGGATTGCCCGTAATTGCAGTATGATATCGTTTACTCAACGACACAACCAGGGTTGTTGCTCCTCCGGGGGGAAACCTCATTACCGGGTTCAACAGAAGCTCATAATAACGTGTGAATTTGCTCAAAACTTTGGAAAATGGCACTCCAAGGACACTTTGCATACCGTTGCGTGGAAGTTTGTTCGAAAACGACTTCAACCCTGCCAAGCACAGACAACGGTCGGCGACGAAAAGCCAAAACACTGTGACAGAATCTCGTTACGATAAGCATCTCTTGGCCTCCTCTAGGAAGCAGCATCCTGCCCGCCTAGTCTTGACGGACTCCGCGACAAACCCAACCACGGCACGGGTTAAGCCAGCCACCGAGGCGACCGACGTCAGCGGCGACGATGAGAGGATTCTTATCGGCGCGTTCTTTCTCGAGCTCCTTTCGGTTTCTTAGCACTTCGAGACGGTCCATAACTTTCAGTACACAAGATGCCATCAGCAGCCAGGCTAGAACTAGAGAGAGAGAGGGAGATATAGGGATGCAACGCGAGGATGAATTATGGATGCTGCTGGAGCCTTTCGGTGCAGAACAACGGGACATGTGGAGGCTGGACGGGCTGTCTCAAGTTGTCAACACTTTGAGGAGGCGGCGAGATGGGAACAAATGGATTCGGGGACACCAGCAGTGGCACGGCATGATAGGTCACTTGGAGGCATGCCAAATTGAACGAAACGGGAAAACAATTAAATTGTGACGGGGATCTTGCTGTTTTCCGACGCTCGGCCTCGTGACGGATGTCCTCGGATTGGGGAGACGGTCGTGAACCGTCGATAGGTCAAATGGATTTTGTGTTATTCGGTTGATTGCTGTTAGGTTGATCGATACGGATTTTGTAATTGGAATTGAAGAAAAATTGGTTTTGGTCGATTCAATTTCATTTAAGGCTTTCTGGAAATCGTCAACTCGTAGAAACGAAATTTAAGCAACGACCCAAATGTAATTACAATTAAATCTAGAATAGGAATCAATTAATTAGGCATACATGCCGAAATTATGCTCAAAATGCGACTGCGTTAATCGTTAATTCAAGTGAGTTTAAATAGGTGTAAATGTCGCAATATGATCCAGAATCAACTCCGACGATCGCCAGTGCTATAAATCATCAAAAAGTTTGCTATGTCACCATGCCACCATATCCAAATATCCAACGAAAAGAACCCCGCAATCCTTCGCCAAAATACCCATCACGAAGAAAAAAGTGCACAGCTTACAACATTTGTGTGCGTGTCGTTTTGTAGCCGTCATGTTCCCCGTCATACATAGCATATTCAATCCGACACTTGCGCCAGCTTGTCAGCTCTTCTGTCCAACTACTTCAGCACAAACTTACGCTTACTTGACAGGATGAAGAAAATCCTGGAAAAGACGTTCTGCCACTGCTGCTCATACAAAAACTACTTGCTACCAACCGCCCCCACCACCCACCATCGACAAGCATAAAAGTCAAAGGATAACGTGTCGGCAACGTGTAAGCAGGATTCAAATTGAAACGTTTTCCAACGACCATCCTCTCCTTCCTAGGAACCTGTTCGAGATGATTTGAAAGACATTCCTAACTTGCTTCACCATCGCCATCCAGGCAGTGCGGCTAAGGAAGCCAAGGAAAAACTTTTCCAACTCCCGCTACCATAAACCCCCTCCCCCCCCCCCCCCCCACGCATTCAACTCCACCGACGACAAGAAGTGTGAACGGTTCTTTGAAGAACGATCCAACTTTTAACGAATCGGTTGCATCCCCCTTTTGCCAAACCCTCTTAACCCCCATCAAAAAAAAAAAAAAGTACCAAATTTCGGAAATGAAAAACCATTCCTTGACACTTTCCGTTCCCCAAGCCAAGAAACCGGGAAAAGTCACCGAAGATGATACAAATTCTTGCTTAAATTGCCACTTTTCGGGGATGCCCACTCAGCTCAGCAATTTTCCGCCGGGGCTGACTCTGTGTTGGAAAAGTTTTCGAAAGGAATTTCACTGCTCTGGTCGGTTGGACGAACTGGCGATTGAAGAATGTCCACTTTTACTTTCGGGCTGAATTTTGGTTTTTTGCGCTATTTCTCAATTGAGAGCCGTTGAAATGTTTCGTTTCACTTCGACGGCTATCTGGTGTGACTTTATTCTGTGGGGTGGATCGGAATTTTTTTTTGTGATGGTCGCTTTAATCGATGATTGAAGTGCAGCTGGTGGTTTGTTGCGATGTTGATTAGATGCAATAGATTAAGTTAAGGCATCTGGTTGATTGGAGATGGTTTTATTCTGGGCGTACTTTTTTCGCGAACTAAGCTTTGAATTTGAAACTATCAAAACTTATTCTAGCCAAATCGGAATCCAAGCAGAAAAAATTCACATTTGCCATCAAGATTGAAACAGATGTAAATTTTAAAAACCCATATTGATCCACCGGGCAGGTGTATAACCTCTTTTTTCATATTATTCCTAAATAGGAGACTCAGTGCATGCGATGTTTTTGTTTTGATTCGATGGATCTAGTTCATTAACATTACGAGCTACAAGTCAGTTAAAAATGACTAATCCCAGGGAATACATATTTGATTTCATGCTTCTTCAAGATTTACATACCTGGCAGGATCGCCAATGTGATATTCTGCTTAATTTCAATGAAAACAACGTTCATATTTTACTTCTAAGAGGAGTGATCTCCATCGCGTTCTTCTTCTCTTCTTAATACACATACAATTGAACACCAAATCCGCATACGACACAATCGATCGAGATCAGCTATGGCAGATTATGCGAGAGTACGAATTTCCGGACAAACTGACGTGATAGGTCAAGGCGACAATGGATCGAGTGATTCGAGTCCCTTTGAATCTCGTAGGGGATTACGGCAAAGTGATGAACTTTCGTGTCTGCTTTAAAATCGCGTTAGAAGGTGTGATAAGAAGAGCTGGGATAGACACGAGTGGCACGATCTTCAGGAAGTCAATCCAGCTTCTTGGCTTCGCCGATGACATCGACATCATGGCAAGAAACTTTGACACGATGGCGGAAACGTACATCAGACTGAAGACTGAACTTAGGTGGATTGGACTTGCCATCCACGCATCGAAGACGAAATACCTGAGAGGAAGAGGTTCTAGGGAAGACCATGTTAGCCTTCCACCTCTAGTTTAGGTTGACGGTGTCGAAATTTAGGTGTTCAAGTTCGTGTGAGTTCGTGTATGTGGGCTCACTGGTGATGGTCAAAAATGCAGGGAATCGTGCCTACATTGCACTCCGGAGGACGCTCTGGTCGAATAAAATTCGCCGCCGCACGAAGTTGACTATCTACAAGACGCTGTTTAGACCAGTGGCCCTCTACGGCCAAGAAACATAGACTATGCTCGTGTTTTCGAACGGACGGTGTTGCGTACCATCTAAGTATGGTGAAGTGTAGATGGAAGGCGGGACGTGGGGAGTCGAATGAACCACGAATTGTATCAGCTTCTAAAAGAGCCATCCATCGTCCACACTGTAAAAATTGGGCGACTACGGTGGGCTGGCACGTCGTAAGTGAAAATGGTTCTCGAAAGCAACAGGAACAAATCGACCAAGTTGAAGGCGACCTGCGACACGTGGCCATGGATCGAGTAAAGTGGAGACATCAAGGTCTTAGTCTGGTTGGTAGGGTGGCAGCTCCCACACCTGGATCCTACTTATCGACTTATCAACTCAACGGCTTTACTTCCCCCTTGGCGTGATCAGAGATGTTATGCCTCAGAACATCCCGGCGGTGCCGACTGGGATTGAACCCAGGCCTGCTGGGGTGAGAGGTAATCACGCTTACCACTACACCACCAGCGCCGCTATACAAAAATTAGGGAAATATTGTCAAAAA